CTTTAAATTAATTCATTTACAATTAAAAACTTTTCTAGGGATAAAAATCTACTGCTTCTGCTCTAAACTATAGAGAGCCCTTTTACATTAATATAAGGTTGCAATTAACAACAGAGCACAAACTTAAATTCAATTACTGTTTATTTTTATCTATAATAATCAACACTCAAATTAAAAAATTGTATGCAAACATGTACATTTTTAAAATTTACTTCTAAATTATACAATTTCTATTTGTTGTTGAAATATGTCATAACTTGTTTCATAAAATATTTATTTAAACATGCATTACATAATTAAGACATCACTTACAGGTAAAGTAAATATAATGAAGTACAGTCTAATATTTGGCTAAATGCTCTTCACGAGACTTCATTTCTCTGGCAAATAACGAGCTGGAGACACTGATTGCCTGAGGTAAATAACATGCTGCGTGACATTTTGTTTACAAGCTGTTTTCATGACATCTTTCTGCAGTTGAAGCACTGATTGAGTGATTACGTGAGGCAGGAGATGTTCATTCATGTTTATTTCACGTTAAAACTAGTAATAAAGATGAAGGGATGATCGCGCTCACTTGTGCCCCGTGCTGCTGTTAGAACCGAGGCTTCTGTACAGCGAGCTGTCTCGCCTCATCAAAGAGCGCCAAAACGGCATTTATTGTCTGTCTGAATTTCCTGAAAAAAAAAACGGAACGATTTGTTCGGTACAAGTGTATTTTTGAAAACCTCTGGTGTACAGGAGCCACATTTTTCTTTGTGCAAATGATTAAATATATTAACAAACTTATGCATAGGTATGCATAATAATTGTACAGGTAAATTACATAGTTTTAAAATGTTTAATATTTTTGTGCAGGGTAAGCATGCTTTAGTTGAAAACTCTTTTATAAGGAGGAATCACATTCTCCTTCATCTTTTGAAACAAGACTTTATCCAGGTCTCACAAGTGGTTTTGTCTCTTCTTCTTTTTTTTTCCCAGCAGGCTTTGCATGAGGAACTGAAACAGGCTCATAAACTGGCTGACATGTACCGAGAGCAGTGTGTGAATCTGGAGACGGACCTGTCCCAGATCAGAGAGGAGGGCGACGTGGGCCGAGAGATCTTCAAAGTATGCAAACAAACTCCTTCACCAGAAGAAAACAAAGAAATGATTGATTAGCCACGGTCATGTATGCCTGTACTATTAACTTCTGCGGCTCACAAAAAACGAGATGTTCAGCTGATTGTCCTTGAGTCATACAGACAAGAGCAGCCTAAACATCATGCTAAATCTCTCCTTCTATGTTTATTTTAAAAAAGTACTGTTTCGAAGCACACCAGGGTGAGATGCTTTTGACATGAACATATTTTGATATTTTATTGAAATGTTGAGGTTGCTTTAGTGTCAAACTAGCATCTGATTTTTGCACGTGTGTTTTTAGGAGCGCTCTGGTAAGATTGCCAAACGTCTGCAGCTGATGACTAAACGTTATGAAGCTCTGGAGAAGAGACGAGCCATGGAGGTGGAGGGATTCAAGACCGATATCAAACTCCTGCGGCAGAAAGTCAAAGACGTGGAGAAATATCTCTTTAAAGTCAGTCATTTCTCTCATGCATCTCTGCTATTTAAGAATATATGAAGAGTTCATTTGCAAAAACCGATAACTCCATTTTTATTTTCAGAAATCACATTTTTTTTATTGCGCATTCCAAGTAATATCAATCAAACTGCAGTTGGGTTGTTTTGATTAAGTAATAATAACTTAAACAAATACAGGTAATTTACAAAATTAAAGTTAATTGAAAGTATGTTTATTTTTTACATATTAAAAGTCTTTTATAGCAAAAGCAGATAACTACACATTTCATGTTTTAGAGTTAAAAAAAAAAAACTCGTTTAATCTTTGTAATCTCCTCAGATGACAATGTAGATAATGTAGACAAATGTTGTTGTTGTTGTGATCATAAACTGTATGGATGTGATTACACGCACTACACGGAGCTTTTCCCTCACCATTGTAACGCGCTGCTTTTGCAAGCTTCCGTGAAAACGCTTCAGCTTTTATTTTCCTTTTTCGCCCTGAAGAAGATATCACAGGTTCATCAAGTTCGTCGAAATGATCCATCCTCGATCACTTTTAGTCAGCTTTGACGAAACTCCTCTCAGCTAGCACGTCTTTTCAAAGTGAAAGTAGCCTTGTCACCTGACCTGAATACAACGTGCTGATTCGTTAAAATGGACTTATCGGCTTCTGTTCAAAAACAACAAGGGCGCTTGTCGGCTTCTGCAGTAAAACGTGAACTCACGATGCCTTGAAAGTGGACAAAACTGGCTTTTTTGACAACGTGTTTTAGGGTTCAGATCGCGCTATAGGTGGAGAATAATGCACGGCAATCAGCTCTTTTTTTTTTGTGGCGTTTATCATTTTTGCAAATGAACTCTTCATATATCTCCTTAGCTTGAGGTTTTCAGCTACACACAATCAGCTAAATTGTCTGATATCAATATATATGAAATTGGCAACTATTTGTTAGTCATTAATATTAGCATTAATTGATGCAGATTTTGATGGCTGTGTCTTTCACTAGTTGACACTCAACGTGGGCCCTGATCAAGACCTGGCGATTCTCCATGAAGTTCGACAGACCAACAGCCGCACGATAAAGGTCCAGAGTGAGCTGAAGAACCTGAGAGCCAAAATCTACAAACTGGAGAACGACCTGAGGTTCTGCTGAAGACTCGTGAGGAGGATCGATGAGATGAACCTCACACTATGTTCTTTAGTCAAATATCCATCCATTTGTATGATTTTGAGTATGAAGAACTTCTGAGACGCATCACTGACTGAATGATTCAGAGGAAAGCTGGACATCATAGAGCTGAGTGTTTATTTGTGCTGTTGAATTTTATATTAGATAAATAAAGGTTGCTTTTTGTGTTCATTTTGAAAGTGATTCACCATTTTTGACTGGTCTGAGACGATAACAAACACAACAGTAAGGCCCATGTTCATTTTATAGCTTTTAAACATCTCAATTTAAACATCTGAAACCTCTCGAGACAAAAACAATACTGAAATGCTTGGAAGAGACTGGACATATTTCAGTTGACAAAAACTAAAACATTACAGATGAATCTGATGAAAACTATTAAAAACACGCTACTGTCATATTTCACCACAAAAAAAAATCATTGTGCATAATAAAAACAAAGATTATTTTATAGTTTTTGCACAGTTAACAGTTGCGCACATTTTCTGCTCCAATTGTCATTAACACAACAAAAATGTGTGTGTGTGTGTATGTGTATATATATATATGTATGTATGTATGTATGTATGTATGTATATATTACATATATATATATATATACATATATATACATATATATATATACATATATACATATATATATATATAGATATATATAGATATATTTAGATATAGATATATAGCATGTTGCATGGTAGTATCTGTTCTACTGAATTTAATTTGTCTAATCTAATATCTGAATCTAAAACTGAATTTAAAAAAAAAACTTTTTTTAAATGCCAGCAATGAGAATTTGGTGGTAAAATCAGTTTAATTGTCTGTTTAAAGAAAATATCACAATGCAAAAAAACATTTTTTATTGACATTTTGCAAATTAAGCTTAAACATTTTTTGTACAATTAATAATAAAGCAAATTTAATGTTATTTATATATTTGTTTCTATATATATTTTTATAAACGTATATATATTAAAATTGTATATGCATTGTAGTGTTTGTTTTGATTTGTGTGTATATATACATATATATATATATATACACATATACTTTAATCATTTTTAATTACAGTAATGTGAATTTGGGGGGTAAAATGTGCTTAACTGTTAAGAAATTTTTTTTTTTTAGAAAGATTTTTTTATATTTTTTAAAAATATAATTTATGCAACATCTAAAATATGACCTGGTGAGGTTCAATCACACGCACGAAAAGATTCAACCTGAGCACAGCGAAGCGGTGACACTGTCACATACTCTAGAAAATCACCAGATCATTGTCTAGTTTTGTCTCATTCAAGTATAGCATTAATTTCCCAAAAAACATCTCCAAATGAGTGTTTGGTCATTTGAAATTAAAATAAGTTGTGTATATATTGCACGGTAACAGAATGTACCATTGTCATTACTTGGCAATAATATTAACGGTACAAATGTAACACTCTTTATAATATGCCTCGACTACAAAAACAGCCAAAATATATACATAGTCAACTAAAACCCCACATATGATAAAAACAAAAGACTTTGGGGATGCAACACTGAAAGCTGCACTTCACACGTACCATAAAACCTCAGTGACGCTTGTATGGCTTCAACAACAACAGAATGACTTAAACACACAGTTCACTTGCTCCTGAGGCACAAAAGTGCATTGTCACACTCGATTAAAGATCACAAACTGATTGTAGTGTTGAAACTTTGGCCCTTTTGGTGGTCTGGACTAATACACAAGTCCAGACAGGCAGTCTCGTTTCAGAGTTTTTCACTCATTTTGACTCAGAAAAAATGGCGACGTTGGTTCCTGACCAGCAGGAATCAGTCCGGTGCCCGGGATTTTACAAGTATGAATATATTCTACTTCGATAATGAGCCTTTTGTTAAACAAACTCTGAAGAACATGTTCAGATAGACTCGAGTATTAAAAGGAATAGTTCATCCAAAATGAAAATTTGCTGAAAATGTACTCAACTTTAAGTCATCAAAGATGTATTTAGCATTCCATCACTTGCTCAACCAATGGATCCTCTGCAGTGAATGGGTGCCGTCAGAATGAGAGTCCAATCAGCTGATAAAAACATCACAATAATCCACAAGACATTACCTGCTGGACTGGAGTGGTGTGGATTACTTGTGGATTATTTGTGATGTTTTTATCAGCTGATTGGACTCTCATTCTGACGGCACCCATTCACTGCAGAGGATCCATTGGTGAGCAAGTGATGGAATGCTACATTTCTCCAAATCTGTTCCCATTAAGAAACAAACTCATTTTTAGTTGGCCAGCAAATTTTCATTTTTGGGTGAACTATTTCTTCAGTGACCATAAGGAGGCAGCATAACTGCTTTTAAAACGCCAGCTTTAGTAAACAAACTAGTGTTTTTAGGGTGGTTGAGTGGGTTTGTGGGTCAGCGATAAGGCGCTGGAGTTGATTGTGCTCACAGTGTGTGGACTGAACTCAGATCATGTAGTTCTTCTTCAGCACCTCCAGGTACTGTTGAGTGGCTCTGCTCACGGGGTCCGGCGGCTCCGGACTCACGTTCAGATTCTGAGAGCCAGAGGCCGATCCTACGGGAGACATGCGGGCACTTCCTCCTTCCAGCTCTCCTGTCACTGAGAGAATGACATGAGAAAGAAAATCACAAAAAAGTCACTTTTGAGGCCATTCACATTAATACAGAACACATTTTTGCTTGGACTTCGAGTCATAATGTAATTCTAACTTAAGGATCATATTAACCCTGTAAAGTCTGACATTTTAAAGTATAGTCTGAAAAATGTATCTTTTTTTAACTGAACAGTTAATTAAACCTTCAGACAAAAAAAAACTTTTGCATGCATTTTGTTTGTATTTTATGGCTCATATAGTGTGATATAGGAGAATATGGAGTTTATACTACATATTTAAAATCTAATATAAATGAAATATATAAATTATGATAGCTTGTAATCTAAACGAATGTGATCCTCATAACAGTAAAAATGACTGTTTACATAAAATACATGTAAACATTTTGTTGTAATAATGTCTTACCATAGTCCAGCTCCTTCGATATGTGCTTCTCCAGCTCCGTCTGCATCTGCAACAGGAACAGACCAATCAGATTACACATCTGACACATCTGATCTCATCAAACACGCATGTCCTAAAACTAACACTCAGCCAGCTCTTTTTTTAAAAGTTGTCACAGCGTTCATACTATAAAAATGTATAACCATGACTATGCAGATGCACCATGGTTTTGACACATCTGATTGGTCAAAATCCAAATGCTAGTAAAAGCATCCATTACCATTCAAAAATGTTGGGTTTTAAGGCAGCATTTATTTGATTTAAAATACAGTAAAAACAGAGAAATCGTAAAATATTATTACAATTTACCCTAGCTAGTGATATAATTTCATTTTATGATTTCATTAGTATAATATCAAATTAAGAAAGGGGCAAAAAAAATCATCTGAATCATTTACACATTCATTTTAGTATGAAAAATGACCTCAAAAAGGATAAAATAAAGGGGTTCAAAATTTGACCAGTACAGCTACAGACCTGAGAATAGCTAAACATGTTACATCACATATTGGTTCATAAATCACAGATCTTGTTTAAATATAAATATTCATAAAGATTAAATATAGACATAATAGATACTCATGCTACTTCTGTAGTATATTTACTCTGCAGTATGTCAATTTTCTGTATCATTTAAATATCTAAATAACCTACTACATTTGTCAAAATGTGCAGTAAACAACCAGAGCACACTGCACTCAGTACTGTATCCCACAATGCAATGCGCTTAACTTTACCTTCCATTTCCAGTGTGATGAAAGAACTCTCTGATCCAACTCCCAAAAGTTAACATTTTTACACAAAATAATTAAAATGTAAAATGATTTATTACCTATAAAACTTCATTAAAACTAAAAAATATACTAAACTATTATAACTATTAAAATTTACTGCATATGCAACCATTAAAACAAAACCTGAAAAAATACGAATAAACTGACAAAAGCACGTAACAAAATTACAAAATTCAAACTAAAAAATATAAAAACAAAAGCTGATTCAAATATAAATAAATACGAATGAATAATACACAAATAACTAATTCTGAAGAAAGATAATGATTTTTTTCAGAAACGACTCTGTGTACTAAAAGCTGTAATGGCACAAAATCCAGCATGATTTCTGACTCAACGTTTTCTCGCATAAACAGCTGTGTGAAGCCGCAGAGACACATTAAAGCAGGTGTGTATGTGTGTGTGTGTGTGTGTGTGTTCTGACAGTCAGAGGTCTGCACACATCAGCTACACACCTGCTCAGGTATCAGGCTGCAGAGAGGACAGGTGAGAAACAGACTTTTGAGCTAGAAGCTGAAGATATCAGAGACAGAAGAGGTCATGAGTCCAGACAGCAGCCACAGGAAAAACAGACCAGGAGGTTATTTACTACGTTTATGAAGGGAAAGATAGTGGAAGGAGAAGATATATCATTAGTCTTAGAATCACCACCTGGCATGGGATTTATTTTGGGTGGCTCTTCTAAAGCTAACAGTAAGTATTAGCTCATGGTTAGAGTTGAATGTTGAGCCAGTGTGGTGTAGGATTTGAAACCTGTTCACAATCTAAATGAGAGTCAAAGACTGCATGCGGCATCGCTCACCTTTGCCAGGTAGGCCTCTACGCGGCTGCTCTGGGATTCCCCTACTGTAGCCAGCAGAGGCGTCCCGAGGCCCAGACTCCTGCTCAGGGGTCCTAGAGAGGCTCCGTACGCCCCCACATCCAGAGCGGGGCCTCCTAAACCGCCGTTCACTATACTGCTGGTGAGCAGAGATTTACTGCGCTGCCTCTCGCTCAGGAGTTTAGTGTTGGCCTCCGCTAACCGCTCGCTCGACCTGCACAAAATGAACAAAAAGACATTTTGGCACATTTTGAAAAACAAACAAAAAAAAACAGTAAACCTTTATGAAACAGAAATAAATCAACTAAATACAGAAATAGCAGCCTATTTTTTAATTGGAAATATTTACTAGGGCTGATTAAAATAACAATAAAAATAATTTAGGGTAATTTTCATTTTTTTATTTTAAGAATTTATTCATGTTTGTTTTTTACTTGTATTTTTTTAACTTGGTAAGTTTATCCAAATTTTCTGCGCCTCCCTTAATATGCTTTAAAATAATATTTATTTCTAATTTAATTTTACTATTTACTATTTTTTATTTAATTTAATTTATTTGTACTTATTATTTTTAGCTCTGCTTTGTAAATTGACCATTTTCATTTCTATTTCAATATGTATGTATATATATTTTTTTTTTTTTTTTTTTTTTTTAATTTAATTTTTTTTTTTTTTACCTGGTAGATGTATCATCATCTTCTGTGACTCCCTTGATATGTTTTGAAATAATATTTATTTTTGTATATATTTGTTTTTACATTTTACAATTTTTATTTACTTTTTTATTTTAGTAATTTATTTATATTTATTTATATCATGATTTTCTGCATCTTCCTCGATATGCACTGAAATAATATTTATTTATTTATATTTTATTAATTTATTTGTATTTATTATTTTTTGTTTTACTTGCTAAATTTACCATAATTTTCTGATTATCTTAGTTTATATATTTTGAAATAATATTTATTCTTTTATTTATATTTTGCTATTTTAATTTATTTTTTATTTGAATAATTTATTAGAATTTATTATTTTTATAATTTTCTGCACCTGATAGGCATTGAAATAATTGCCATTAAACTCTTTTTTTTTGTGGCTAATGCAACTAATTTCAATTTTTGAATCTGAAAATGTGATTGAGCTGTGATTATAATGAAGACATACAGTATTTCTAAATATAATTCTGCGGTCTGGCTCCCATGATGCCTCTCACCTCTCTAGTTTGGCGGCCAGACTCTTGCGGAGACGGAGCTCTTCGCTGTACAGCTGTTTGTAGCGGTCCAGCTCTGTGCGGCTGGAGTCTCTCTGAAGCAGACTGTCCTGCTGAACGCTGCGTAAACGGCTGAGCTCTCCCTCCAGATCTCTGATGCGCTGCTCCTGCTGAGCGCGCTGACTGGCCTCATTAGCAGCTTTCATCTGCTCCAGAGCTTCCTGAGATGCCGCCTGCGTCTGATGAAGGAAACACAGTGTCAGTGTTTAACAGTGTCTAAAACTTCATAATAAACAAAATAATTATAATTATCTTATATTTTAGAAATATATAATATTCTATATAAACAAAATAATTATAATTATCTTTATAAAATAATACATTTTGTTTTTAACTTGTAAAATAATAAAAAATAATAAATAAATAAAATGCTGTCTGTGTGAAACATAAAATCTCATAATGAAGAAAATGATTATATCAACTTTAAAAGATTTATTATAATTATTCTATAAAGTAATATTTTATATTTAAATAAAATATATAATATTATAAAATAAAATAACAACAATATAATGCCTGCATGAAACCATGTCTAAAAATGTATAAAAAACAAAATTATTCTAATTACTTGAATTAAAATATATATAAAATAAATAATAATAAAATAACAGTAAACAAAATAAGATAATGTCTGCATGTGAAGAGTGAAAAATACATAAATAAGCAAAATTATTCTAATAAATTTGTAAAAATAATATTTTATACTTAAAATGTAAAATAAAATCAAATAAAATGAGTAAAGGAACATCATTTTTGCATAATGTGACTGAAACCGGCCAGTAACGATTTTGTATTCACTTGCTTTTTCACTTCTATTTGGTGCACAATGATCATTTACTTCGGATTTGCATAGAAATATGTAACAACAATAAACACAATGCTAAAGTGAGCGCATTCTGGTGAATGTTGAGTCTCTGACTCACGTTGTGTACCTGCAGGAAGAGGTTGACCTCCTCTAGTTTGTGTCGGATCTCCTGTCGGGCTCTTTCCTCCGTCTCCCGGCGGTACTGCTCGGCCTGGCTCTGGTCCATCACACCGGCCTCCAGCTGCCGCCGCAGACTGGCCACCTCTTCCTCCAGCTGCCTCTTGCTGCGCTCCAGCTGCTCGTGGCTTCGGCTCAGGCTCTTCACAGACGACAGCTTCTCCTTCAGCTGTCTGTTCACCTCCTCCAGCCGCGAGCAGCGCGACGCCTCCCGCTCGTACTGAGACTGCAGCTCATCCACCTGCGCCAGAGGAAGGTGGCAACAGGTTCGGACGCGAGCAGAACAGGAAGAAATAAAGAGACTATACCAAGTTTGCTTGCTTTTATCTCATCTGATAGTCTTAAAAATGACCAAAAATGTTGCAAAGGTCTGTAGATGGCTAAAGCTGAGACTGTACCCGAGTCTTCATTCTGCTGACGGCGCTCTCTGCCTCCAGACGGTGGCTCATGTCTGCTCTGAAGCTGCCCAGAGGAGAGTCCAGCTGTCCACCGCCCTGTTCCCGCAGCTGCTTCTTAGCGGTTTTCAACAGTGTCTTCAACCTGACACACACAGATAGAGAGACTGAAATTAGAGACATTCTGTATCATTGTTGTTATTGTTTTTTTATTTTCATATATGAAACCATGATCCGCACTCACAAAAATAGTCTTCTTTCTTCCTGCTGGTGATGAATGTAAATAAAACGTTAAATGAAGACTATTTTTGTTAGTGCCGGTCATTGTTTCTTATACGAAGTAATTAAATAGTTCGATGCACCAAAATAAAGTATTAAGTGACAAAAGAGCACGATGCAAACAGCTTTGTAGACTTTTTTTTGTTATAAATTGAAATAAAGCTGAAATAAAATAAAATATATATATTTGATGCAAAATGCAAATGAAGAATTAGAAATGTTGGTTTAGCAGCTAAAGTAAGTTCTAAAATGACTAAAACTAAAACTGAAAAAAAAAATGATTAAAGCTAAATATAAATACTTAATACAAACTAATAAAAATGACAAAAATACAACACAAATTTACTTAATGTAAGATTAAATGAAAAATAAAAACAAAAGCTTATTATTAATAAGTATTAATATACAAGATATTAATAAATATTGTAATAGAATATATAAATAGAATAAATAATATTATAATAGAGTATTTTTTTTAAAAGAACACTGTGCTGCTTGCATTTGAAGTCAATTAAACCATGAGATATAGGTACCTATGTCCTGTGTGTGTATGTGTGTGTGTGTGCGTGTGTATTATATATATATGTTATTTAATACAAGTTAAAAACATTACAAAAGCTCATAACAAAATTACTTAAATTAAAATAACAAAAGACTATTATCAATAAATATCAATATATACAACACATTAATAAATAATATAATAGTATATAAGTACTTAGGGCTGGGCGATATGGCCAAAACAATTATCACGAAAAAAATGTTCATATCAGTCGATATCAATAATTATCACGATAAATGTCAAATCTTTATTTCTTTCAAGTTTAAAGCCAGATTTTTGCTCCAAAGTGGAAGTTGTAGAAACAAGACCATTAATTTTCCTTAACAAAATAAATATCTGATTAGAAAAATTAATTTCTTAGTTTCTGCATGTCCTAATGAGTGATATTGTTTCAAATCAAGAAACAGGTTTGGGTTGCCTGATAATATTAATAATAATATCACTTTTTTGTCTCTTAGAAATGCACATTTGATAGTAGCTTGAGTTAGGATGCAGAGGTAAATTTTTGTTCATTATCAAAATCAGTAACATCTGTAAAAATAAAATGGTAGCATCCTCAGTTTTATATGGTAAAAATTTTTTTTTTTTGAATTAAGCATTGGTCTCCCATAGTAGCATACATTTAAATCATGATAAACTCTTAGAAATGCACATTTGATAGTAGCTTGAGTTAGGATGCAGAGGTAAATTTTTGTTCATTATCAAAATCAGTAACATCTATAAAAATAAAATGGTAGCATCCTCAGTTTTATATGGTAAAAAATTTTTTTTTTTGAATTAAGCATTGGTCTCCCATAGTAGCATACATTTAAATCATGATAAACACAGTTAAAACCACACATATAGCACCTAAATACCATGGTAAAAATATAACTATGAAAAACAGTAGTCTAAAAACATTCAGTATAAATGCACACATGCTATAGCTTAATCAAATACATACTAAAATTATATACCATTACTCCTGTAATAAAATTCAGTGTGAATATCCCACTTTTCTGCCACAATACCATGGTGCAGTGAGTGTTACTACAGTATATCCATGGTAAATGATGGCGATGTATCGCGCTGTTTCGTTCCGCTACTGGCGCATAAACATTATATCAAACATTTATCGAACTCTCCATATCGAGGAAAATTATATCGCGATAATTATCATTATCTAATTATCGCCCAGCCGTATAAGTACTATATATATTAGTCAACAAAGGTCTTACTGTGATTGTGATTTCTTTATAATCTTTCACTCAAATGAAATAACCTGCTCCACCAGTTAAACAACTTGGTTTTTAAATGATCCCTCTTACTTTTTCTCATTTCCACCATAATTAACATGGATAAAAAGAATAATGACATGATTATTTGTGCTGTCAAATATCCTGTAACACTTTTTTCTAAATATATCAGTTTTCAAATGCCGTATGAAGGTTTTTCGCACTATACACACAGCTGTAAGTCATTCTGCAGCACTGCAGCAGCACAAAAGACAGGCTTGGAGTCAGTCCTCCTAAGATAAAGCAATGTGCACTGTATGTGTGTGTCTCACAGATTCACAAGCAGGAGGATCCGCATAGTCGGCTTCTCTACATACTCAAAAACGTCTACAGGTGTAGAGCTGCAGCAGTCGGGGTTAAAGGTTAAAGGGTCACCTGTACATTTCCTTCTGAAGGTCAGTGTTTCTCTTCATCTCCTGCTCCAGACGGGTGTCCACAGATTTCTTCTGCTCGGCTAGTTTTTTGGCCATTTTCTTCTCGAGCTCCATCTAAAATACAGAGAGAGGACGCATTTGTTAGAAACTCTTGGCCACAAGACACTTTGGCATGTGTTCCAATGTGTGATATGAAATATCACCAATAACATTTTCATCTAATAATATTTTTAACAGTATATTGCTCTATACATACACTACCATTCAAAGTTTGGGGTCGGTACAATTGATGTTTTTGAAAGAAGTCTCTTCTGCTCACCAAGGTTGAATTAGTTGATCAGAAATACAGAAAAATTGTGAAATATCATTACAATTTAAAAGAACAGTTTTCTATTTGAATATATTGTAAAATGTAATTAATTGCTATGATCAAAGCTGAATTTTCAGCATCATTACTCCAGTCTTCAGTGTCACATGATCCTTCAGAAATCATTCTGATATACCGATTTACTGCTCAAGAAACATTTGATTATTATCAATGTTGAAAACAGTTGTGCTGCTTCATATTTTTGTGGAAAACATAATACTTTTTTTTTTTTTTAATTCTTTAATGAATAGAAAGTTCAAAAGAACAGCATTTATTTTAAATCTTTTGTAACATTATTAATAATTTTACTGACACTTTTGATCAATTGAATGAATCCTTGCTGAATAAAAGTATTTATTTCTTTATTTAAAAGAAAAAACAGAAAAACGAAATAAACGTATTGACCCCAAATGACTGAATGGTACTGCATTATATAAATTTCAAAGTAAAAGAACAAACATTCATTCCATATTTTATGAAAATATCAGGTGTAATTCAATGACACATTTTGGATGGGCATTATTGTGTCTTTCTGGCACCTGATATTTCTGCCACAATACCATGGTGCAGTGAGTGTTACTACAGTAAATCCATGGTAAATGATGGCGATGTATCGCGCTGTTTCGTTCCGCTACTGGCGCATAAACATTATATCAAACATTTATCGAACTCTCCATATCGAGGAAAATTATATCGCGATAATTATCATTATCGAATTATCGCCCAGCCGTATAAGTACTATATATATTAGTCAACAAAGGTCTTACTGTGATTGTGATTTCTTTATAATCTTTCACTCAAATGAAATAACCTGCTCCACCAGTTAAACAACTTGGTTTTTAAATGATCCCTCTTACTTTTTCTCATTTCCACCATAATTAACATGGATAAAAAGAATAATGACATGATTATTTGTGCTGTCAAATATCCTGTAACACTTTTTTCTAAATATATCAGTTTTCAAATGCCGTATGAAGGTTTTTCGCACTATACACACAGCTGTAAGTCATTCTGCAGCACTGCAGCAGCACAAAAGACAGGCTTGGAGTCAGTCCTCCTAAGATAAAGCAATGTGCACTGTATGTGTGTGTCTCACAGATTCACAAGCAGGAGGATCCGCATAGTCGGCTTCTCTACATACTCAAAAACGTCTACAGGTGTAGAGCTGCAGCAGTCGGGGTTAAAGGTTAAAGGGTCACCTGTACATTTCCTTCTGAAGGTCAGTGTTTCTCTTCATCTCCTGCTCCAGACGGGTGTCCACAGATTTCTTCTGCTCGGCTAGTTTTTTGGCCATTTTCTTCTCGAGCTCCATCTAAAATACAGAGAGAGGACGCATTTGTTAGAAACTCTTGGCCACAAGACACTTTGGCATGTGTTCCAATGTGTGATATGAAATATCACCAATAACATTTTCATCTAATAATATTTTTAACAGTATATTGCTCTATACATACACTACCATTCAAAGTTTGGGGTCGGTACAATTGATGTTTTTGAAAGAAGTCTCTTCTGCTCACCAAGGTTGAATTAGTTGATCAGAAATACAGAAAAATTGTGAAATATCATTACAATTTAAAAGAACAGTTTTCTATTTGAATATATTGTAAAATGTAATTAATTGCTATGATCAAAGCTGAATTTTCAGCATCATTACTCCAGTCTTCAGTGTCACATGATCCTTCCTACTGGCGCATAAACATTATATCAAACATTTATCGAACTCTCCATATCGAGGAAAATTATATCGCGATAATTATCATTATCGAATTATCGCCCAGCCGTATAAGTACTATATATATTAGTCAACAAAGGTCTTACTGTGATTGTGATTTCTTTATAATCTTTCACTCAAATGAAATAACCTGCTCCACCAGTTAAACAACTTGGTTTTTAAATGATCCCTCTTACTTTTTCTCATTTCCACCATAATTAACATGGATAAAAAGAATAATGACATGATTATTTGTGCTGTCAAATATCCTGTAACACTTTTTTCTAAATATATCAGTTTTCAAATGCCGTATGAAGGTTTTTCGCACTATACACACAGCTGTAAGTCATTCTGCAGCACTGCAGCAGCACAAAAGACAGGCTTGGAGTCAGTCCTCCTAAGATAAAGCAATGTGCACTGTATGTGTGTGTCTCACAGATTCACAAGCAGGAGGATCCGCATAGTCGGCTTCTCTACATACTCAAAAACGTCTACAGGTGTAGAGCTGCAGCAGTCGGGGTTAAAGGTTAAAGGGTCACCTGTACATTTCCTTCTGAAGGTCAGTGTTTCTCTTCATCTCCTGCTCCAGACGGGTGTCCACAGATTTCTTCTGCTCGGCTAGTTTTTTGGCCATTTTCTTCTCGAGCTCCATCTAAAATACAGAGAGAGGACGCATTTGTTAGAAACTCTTGGCCACAAGACACTTTGGCATGTGTTCCAATGTGTGATATGAAATATCACCAATAACATTTTCATCTAATAATATTTTTAACAGTATATTGCTCTATACATACACTACCATTCAAAGTTTGGGGTCGGTACAATTGATGTTTTTGAAAGAAGTCTCTTCTGCTCACCAAGGTTGAATTAGTTGATCAGAAATACAGAAAAATTGTGAAATATCATTACAATTTAAAAGAACAGTTTTCTATTTGAATATATTGTAAAATGTAATTAATTGCTATGATCAAAGCTGAATTTTCAGCATCATTACTCCAGTCTTCAGTGTCACATGATCCTTCAGAAATCATTCTGATATACCGATTTACTGCTCAAGAAACATTTGATTATTATCAATGTTGAAAACAGTTGTGCTGCTTCATATTTTTGTGGAAAACATAATACTTTTTTTTTTTTTTTAATTCTTTAATGAATAGAAAGTTCAAAAGAACAGCATTTATTTTAAATCTTTTGTAACATTATTAATAATTTTACTGACACTTTTGATCAATTGAATGAATCCTTGCTGAATAAAAGTATTTATTTCTTTATTTAAAAGAAAAAACAGAAAAACGAAATAAACGTATTGACCCCAAATGACTGAATGGTACTGCATTATATAAATTTCAAAGTAAAAGAACAAACATTCATTCCATATTTTATGAAAATATCAGGTGTAATTCAATGACACATTTTGGATGGGCATTATTGTGTCTTTCTGGCACCTGATTGGTCAGTTCTCCTTTCTCTTTCTCCAGCTCAGAGAGGCGGAGTCCCAGTTGTGAGCGGCTCTTTAGCTCCTCCTCCCACAGTGCTTGTGAGTCCTGGGCATTATGGGATAGCATACTCTGCTTCTGCACCTGGAGAGGAGGACCGCAATGAAAAAACAGATCATATTTTCCTGTAGCACTATGAATCAGGGTTATTATCGCTAACTAAATCAAAGACTAAAAAAAGAGAGAGAAAAGAAACACACATCAAGGTTTAGTTCACCCAAAAATGAAAATTCTGTCATTAATTACTCACCCTCATGTCGTTCCAAACCCGTAAGACCTTCATTCAGCTTCTGAACACAAATTAAGATATTTTTGATGAAATCCGAGAGCTCTCTGACCCTCCATAGACTGCAACACAACTGCAATGTTCCCAGGCTCAGAAACGTAGCAAGGACATCGGTAAAAGTCCATGGGACATCAGTGGTTCAAATGTAATTTTCCGAAGCTATGAGAATATTTTTTGTGCATAAAGAAAACAAACATAACTTTATTCAACAATTCTTCTCCTCATGCATTGTGATACTCTCTGCACAATGGCGGCGCTCATTGGGATGAGGAGAAGAATTGTTGAATAAAGTTATTTTTGTTTTCTTTGCGCACAAAAAATATTCTCGTAGCTTCGGAAAATTAAGGTTGAACCACTGATGTAAAATGGACAATTTTAACGATGTCCTTACTACCTTTCTGGGCCTTGAACGTGGTAGTTGCTTTGCTGTCTATTCAGGGTCAGAAATCTCTCGGATTTAATAAAAAATATCTTAATTTGTGTTCCGAAGGTCTTAGGGATTTGGAACGACATGAGGGTGAGTAATTAATGACAAAATTTTCATTTTTGGGTGAACTATCCCTTTAAATTACACAGTCAGAGAGCTCTCGGATTTCATCAAAAATATCTTAATTTGTGTTCCGTAGATGAACGAAGGTCTTATGGGTTTGGAACGACATGATGGTGAGTAATTAATGACAGAATTTTCATTTTTGGGCGAACTATCTCTTTAAGGTAAAGTACTAAAATTAAATAAATACAGACATTTTTTTTTTAAACTAAAAAATATATTATTTTTAATAACAAAATTACTAAAACTTTCTCTAAAATTAAAATAAGAAAATCTAAAAAAAAAAAAATCTAATTTAAAATATGAACAAAAACTAATAGTATATCAGTGATACTAAAATATCACTGCTATGAATAAACTGAAATTCAGTTTTCAGTCTATCCTCTCTTCATCCATTGCATTTAGTTGCATTTTGAAGCTCAATGTGACAGGTTTATTATAAAGTTCACCTCTTGGTTGAGTTGTTCTTCTAGTGTCATCTTACTGCTCTGCAGGTTTGTGACGAGATCTTCCAAATGATTCCTGACCTGAGAACCATCACAGATGTCAATATGCAACAGGATCTGATGGGTTCAATTCACTCTCTTAACAAAGTACTTCATGCAGATCTAGATCTACTTTAGATCTCAGAAACCAAAAATGCAGAAGGTAGAGTTTACAATAAATGCAAATCAACCTAAACCCTAACCCACCACCAAAACGGAGAAAATACCCCACTAACAACCCTACTAGAGAAAAGCAATAAAGCATACAGACACTTTATTGTTTCTTGTTCATTTCAAGAGTAAATCACAGTAAGATTTGAGATCCTGAAGAGCTGTAATTCACAGTGAAAAAAGAAGAACCAAAAAAGGGAACTGCTAGAATCACAGCTAGATGTTTGATACCAACCCCTTCTCCAGGTGATGAGCCTGATAGCTGTGAAAAGACCGACTACATCAGTTTACATGAAATCTCCTCTCTGACTGACTCACATGTACAGTCAAGCTCATTCTGCACTGGCACATTTAAACAGAGTTCATCTAAAGTGAAGCTCAGATGACTTAAGAGGGTAAAAGGAGGTTCTGTCAGGATTAACGTCTAAATCTACCATCATCAGCTGAGTCAGGACAGAGAACTCACCACAGCGCCCTCCTGAACACCCTTCTGTAGCACCTCAATGCGGTTGGTCTGTTGTTTGGCCGTGGCCTCCAGTCTGGCGTTCTCGATCTCTAACCTGGAGAGATATCATAATCACATGAACCATGATCAGATAGCTTAGAAGTTGATTACAGTTAATAATGATGGACACTTTTGTGTTGTTTAGCTGATGGACGTAAGATGATAGAGAACAAAGTGGTTCGTTTGAATGCACTTTTATTACAAAAACGTAAAAGTATGCAATAAATGGCATTACTGAAATATTTAAATATGGAAATAAATATATTATTCCAATTAAATACTTTAATATTATGCAACGAATTATTACTTAAATATATAAATATGAATATAAATATATTTTGAAAATATTCATTTTAATTTCAATAACTTAATAATATGCAATAAGTGACTACTGAAATATATGAAAATAAATACAATAATATACATATTCATTTAATGTAAATGTCTTACCTTAATAGTATGCACTAAATATCATTACTATATGAATCTGAACATGAATCTAAATATTCATATAATTTTCACATAAATAATTATGCAATATATTACTACTAAAATATGTAAATGTAAATATATTCATAAAATCTTTATATTAATTTCATAGAATATTCATCATGCAATAAATGACTACTGTAACATGTAAATATGAATATAAATGTATTCATTTAATGTTCATATTAAATTTATGTAAATTTCATATACAACAACTTAATGACATTATATGACTATAAATATATTCATATTTTGACTTGTGTTTTAATATGTTGGCTAACGTTATATGAAGATTAAGAATTCTGTCAGGCTATTGATTGATTTTCCATTGTTCTGCATTTCCCCAGCTGATTTGAATAAATAAGCTATGCTTTGGCTTATGTTGATATGCTCTTCTTTTTTTTCTTTTTAACGACCGCCTAAAATGAAATGATGATAACGCGAGGCAAGTGTGCGGCAAACGGAATTCATTGAGGGATTTGATAGTGTGATTCATAGATTAAGTATTTCAAATATAGGCTAATATATGCTACATGCACGCAAAGAGGTTTTTTTTCTTACCATCTTTTGGGGGTTTCTTGCTTTTAGACTAGTCGACTAGTCGGATACAAAACTTTCGTTTAAACGACAGTCAAATTAGTCGTCGCGCACATCCCTAGTGGTGACCCCACTTTTTTATATTACTGAATTCAATAAATGAACATATATTGTTCAGGGAATGAAGGTACTCCGGTTAAACACACATTGTACTGTTAATGACTGACACCAAACTGATCGGACAGTTTTCAGGAAGTATAAGAAGATTAATGGTTACCTTTCCCTTCAATCTGTCCATGTCCTTGAGTGTGCGCGCCTTCTCTTCCTCGAGATCATTACGGTACCGTGTGTTGACCTCCAGAGAATCCTCACACATGGACAGCTTCTTCAGACAGTCAGCCAGCTCCTGCTGCAGCTGCCTCAGAGAAGCCTGCAAAAAAAACAACAGCTTAATGCTCTCATTGGATATCTAAAAATAAATGTATAACCTAAAATACCTATAATCTTTTTTTATTATATTTATCATATTATTATGTGTTATTGTTTTATATATATATTTTTACTATTATTTTTATTATTTAAAATTTGTTTATTTTTGCATGAATTGTATTAATTATTTTAATAACTTTTGACCCTTTTGACCACAATTAAATGTTTCTGGTGTGTTGTATATATCTTTGTTTTAACCTTTATGTATGTGCAGTATGTGCAGTTATTATTATTAAAATATATCAAATATATTACAACATTTATTTCCTTTTTTTTTTAATTAAATATTTATTTAAAAAAAATAATTATTTATATATTAAAACAATATATTGAATTTGACACATATTTGTGTGTGTGTTTATGTGTGTGTATATATATATATTTATATAAAGCCCTTTAGTGATACAAAAGGATGTTGGATGTTCTTCACTTACAGTAAATACAGTGATACAGCCATTTCTAAAGAAAAAAACACGAGACAATCTCGGTGTCCTCTACCTCTCTCTCAGCTTTCTCCTGCTCTATTTTGTAGTTCTGCTCTCTCAGCTCGCTGTTCGTCTTCACCAGCTCTTTGCTTCTCTCCTCCACCAGGTGGACTCTCTCCTCTCCGTCTGCACGTATCTGGTTCAGCATTTCTGCAAAGTTCTGGTGCACATCTGTAACGGCTTTATCTTTCGCCGAGCCCTTGTTGAGCGCCTCCTCCAGCTGTTGTTGTAGCAGCGCGTTCTCACTCTGAGACTGGGCCAGTCTCTCCTGCATGGCTTCCTGTTTGGCCCCGGCACGGCTGGCCTGCTCCCGTTCACTCAGTACCGTGGCCTCCAGTTCTTTGAGTTTGGCCAGGGCCTGGTCTTTCTCCCGGGCCAGAGTCTCCAACAACACGCCTTTCTCAGCGACGGTCAGAGCATTACGGTGACACTCATTCTCGAAGCTGTTGGCACGCGCCTCGGCCTTGCTAAGTTTCTGGGACAGGGACTGGATGGTGTCCCGTTGTGTACTGGACTCAAAGATGTGCTTTTCCTGCGCCCGCTGGTGCTCCTCACGGTCTCGCTGGAGAGTGCGCTCTGCATCCGTGCGTGAGGTCTGAGAGGTTGCAACAATAATAAAAGACAAATTGATAGCAGTTCCTAAAATCCCTTCCCTTTGGTTGAACAAAAAAAAACCCTGAAGCTTACCTGGCATCTCTCGGCCTCCTGTAGCGCCGCTTGAAGTCGTGCTCTGCTCGCCTCAGCCTCGGCCTCCAGTTGCTGCCTCACCTGCCTCTCGTGATCCAGTTTGGCCGTGATCACTGAGCATTCGGCCTTCAGCGTGCTCAGCTGCCCTTTAAACGACAGTCAAATTAGTCGTCGCGCACATCCCTAGTGGTGACCCCACTTTTTTATATTACTGAATTCAATAAATGAACATATATTGTTCAGGGAATGAAGGTACTCCGGTTAAACACACATTGTACTGTTAATGACTGACACCAAACTGATCGGACAGTTTTCAGGAAGTATAAGAAGATTAATGGTTACCTTTCCCTTCAATCTGTCCATGTCCTTGAGTGTGCGCGCCTTCTCTTCCTCGAGATCATTACGGTACCGTGTGTTGACCTCCAGAGAAGCCTCACACATGGACAGCTTCTTCAGACAGTCAGCCAGCTCCTGCTGCAGCTGCCTCAGAGAAGCCTGCAAAAAAAACAACAGCTTAATGCTCTCATTGGATATCTAAAAATAAATGTATAACCTAAAATACCTATAATCTTTTTTTATTATATTTATCATATTATTATGTGTTATTGTTTTATATATATATTTTTACTATTATTTTTATTATTTAAAATTTGTTTATTTTTGCATGAATTGTATTAATTATTTTAATAACTTTTGACCACTGCTTAATCAATTAAATGTTTCTGGTGTGTTGTATATATCTTTGTTTTAACCTTTATGTATGTGCAGTTATCATGATTATTATTATTAAAATATATCAAATATATTACAACATTTATTTCCTTTTTTTTTTATTAAAATATTTATTTAAAAAAAATAATTATTTATATATTAAAACAATATATTGAATTTGACACATATTTGTGTGTGTGTTTATGTGTGTGTATATATATATATTTATATAAAGCCCTTTAGTGATACAAAAGGATGTTGGATGTTCTTCACTTACAGTAAATACAGTGATACAGCCATTTCTAAAGAAAAAAACACGAGACAATCTCGGTGTCCTCTACCTCTCTCTCAGCTTTCTCCTGCTCTATTTTGTAGTTCTGCTCTCTCAGCTCGCTGTTCGTCTTCACCAGCTCTTTGCTTCTCTCCTCCACCAGGTGGACTCTCTCCTCTCCGTCTGCACGTATCTGGTTCAGCATTTCTGCAAAGTTCTGGTGCACATCTGTAACGGCTTTATCTTTCGCCGAGCCCTTGTTGAGCGCCTCCTCCAGCTGTTGTTGTAGCAGCGCGTTCTCACTCTGAGACTGGGCCAGTCTCTCCTGCATGGCTTCCTGTTTGGCCCCGGCACGGCTGGCCTGCTCCCGTTCACTCAGTACCGTGGCCTCCAGTTCTTTGAGTTTGGCCAGGGCCTGGTCTTTCTCCCGGGCCAGAGTCTCCAACAACACGCCTTTCTCAGCGACGGTCAGAGCATTACGGTGACACTCATTCTCGAAGCTGTTGGCACGCGCCTCGGCCTTGCTAAGTTTCTGGGACAGGGACTGGATGGTGTCCCGTTGTGTACTGGACTCAAAGATGTGCTTTTCCTGCGCCCGCTGGTGCTCCTCACGGTCTCGCTGGAGAGTGCGCTCTGCATCCGTGCGTGAGGTCTGAGAGGTTGCAACAATAATAAAAGACAAATTGATAGCAGTTCCTAAAATCCCTTCCCTTTGGTTGAACAAAAAAAAACCCTGAAGCTTACCTGGCATCTCTCGGCCTCCTGTAGCGCCGCTTGAAGTCGTGCTCTGCTCGCCTCAGCCTCGGCCTCCAGTTGCTGCCTCACCTGCCTCTCGTGATCCAGTTTGGCCGTGATCACTGAGCATTCGGCCTTCAGCGTGCTCAGCTGCCCGTTGTATTGGAATACGGTCTGGGCCAAGGCCTCCTCGCTCAGTTTCATGTCCCTGCGGGCGTCCTCCAGTCTCTCGCGAAGGGCGTCACGCTCCTCCGCCAGCCGTGACTCTTCCTGTCGGCTGTGGCACTGCGAGCGGTCCAGCTCGGCCCGAGCTGCATTCAGTTCATCCAGTAGGGCTCGGTTTTGTTGCATCAACTCTCGCTCACGGTCTGACGCCTCTGTTAGCTGGGACATGGCCTGAGCACAGCATCAGAAATGAACTCAGTTTAACATGAGACAAACACATTTTAGCATTTTTTTTTTATTATATTATTACAGAGCATGTGGCCTAGTTGCAACAGAGTGATTGGCTCTATAACTGTAAGTTAATGCCTAAGTTTTTTTTTTAATTAAAATATTTATTTAAAAAAATTAATTATTTATATATTAAAACAATATATTGAATTTGACACATATTTGTGTGTGTGTTTATGTGTGTGTATATATATATATTTATATAAAGCCCTTTAGTGATACAAAAGGATGTTGGATGTTCTTCACTTACAGTAAATACAGTGATACAGCCATTTCTAAAGAAAAAAACACGAGACAATCTCGGTGTCCTCTACCTCTCTCTCAGCTTTCTCCTGCTCTATTTTGTAGTTCTGCTCTCTCAGCTCGCTGTTCGTCTTCACCAGCTCTTTGCTTCTCTCCTCCACCAGGTGGACTCTCTCCTCTCCGTCTGCACGTATCTGGTTCAGCATTTCTGCAAAGTTCTGGTGCACATCTGTAACGGCTTTATCTTTCGCCGAGCCCTTGTTGAGCGCCTCCTCCAGCTGTTGTTGTAGCAGCGCGTTCTCACTCTGAGACTGGGCCAGTCTCTCCTGCATGGCTTCCTGTTTGGCCCCGGCACGGCTGGCCTGCTCCCGTTCACTCAGTACCGTGGCCTCCAGTTCTTTGAGTTTGGCCAGGGCCTGGTCTTTCTCCCGGGCCAGAGTCTCCAACAACACGCCTTTCTCAGCGACGGTCAGAGCATTACGGTGACACTCATTCTCGAAGCTGTTGGCACGCGCCTCGGCCTTGCTAAGTTTCTGGGACAGGGACTGGATGGTGTCCCGTTGTGTACTGGACTCAAAGATGTGCTTTTCCTGCGCCCGCTGGTGCTCCTCACGGTCTCGCTGGAGAGTGCGCTCTGCATCCGTGCGTGAGGTCTGAGAGGTTGCAACAATAATAAAAGACAAATTGATAGCAGTTCCTAAAATCCCTTCCCTTTGGTTGAACAAAAAAAAACCCTGAAGCTTACCTGGCATCTCTCGGCCTCCTGTAGCGCCGCTTGAAGTCGTGCTCTGCTCGCCTCAGCCTCGGCCTCCAGTTGCTGCCTCACCTGCCTCTCGTGATCCAGTTTGGCCGTGATCACTGAGCATTCGGCCTTCAGCGTGCTCAGCTGCCCGTTGTATTGGAATACGGTCTGGGCCAAGGCCTCCTCGCTCAGTTTCATGTCCCTGCGGGCGTCCTCCAGTCTCTCGCGAAGGGCGTCACGCTCCTCCGCCAGCCGTGACTCTTCCTGTCGGCTGTGGCACTGCGAGCGGTCCAGCTCGGCCCGAGCTGCATTCAGTTCATCCAGTAGGGCTCGGTTTTGTTGCATCAACTCTCGCTCACGGTCTGACGCCTCTGTTAGCTGGGACATGGCCTGAGCACAGCATCAGAAATGAACTCAGTTTAACATGAGACAAACACATTTTAGCATTTTTTTTTTATTATATTATTACAGAGCATGTGGCCTAGTTGCAACAGAGTGATTGGCTCTATAACTGTAAGTTAATGCCTAAGTGCAGGTCATTAGGACAAAGCCTAAAAATCTGACCAATCACATGTCAGCAAAAAGGATTAGAGCAATTGGGTTACACAGAAGATCTGCTGACTGTGTTTTATATGCGGTAAACCTAAATCATGAACTTCATGTATTTGATTTTAAAGTATTTGATTTAGGAAAATTGGCCATTTGTTCTCAATTATGCTCAATTATGACCAGGGCCGTCCTTAGCTGACGTGGTGCAAGTGCACCAGTTGCACCCCCTAAAGGACAGCCCTGAATATGACGTCACTACATACTTGACTGTAAAGATATGAAATCACTGCATATTGGTAAATTTGTTCTCAATTATGTTCATATTCATGGTTTCTTGGTTGGAATGTGCATATTATAAAGCTATGATGTTGCTTTATGTGTCAGTAAACTATGAGGTAACTACCAGTGTTGGGTAAGTTACTCTAAAAAAGTAATTAATTACTACTAGTTACTAATTACATCTTCAACAGTATAATTAGATTACTGTACAAATTACTCTCTCCAAAAAGTATTTAATTACTTATTGCTAAATCCTATATCAACCTCGACAAGTTAATGATACAAGGATAGACATGAAAAGGTTCTTTTAATTCTTTCAAATAAATAATAGATAACTACATAAATTATTCTGGTCACACTTTAGATTAGAGTCCAATTCTCACTATTAACTAACTATTAACTATGACTTTTGCCTCAATATACTCCTAATTACTGCTTATTAATACTTAGTAAAGTAGTTGTTAAGTTTAAGAATTGGGTAGGGTTAAGGATTTAAAATAAGGTCTTGCAGAATAAGACATTAATATGTGTTTTTTTAAAGTAATAATAAACAGCCAATATCCCAGTAATATTCATGCTATAACCAACTAGTTAATAGTGAGAATTGGACACTAAGTGTTACCACAATTTTTATTAACTCACCAAGGTATTTAAAGTGAGAAGGGTACCTAAAAAGCATGCATTTTAAGGTTAGACTTTAAATTTGTATGTTAAATCCACTATTGTATTGTATATGAATGTTCTATAGTCTATAAGTTCAATTACATAAGACGTAACTGTAATTAAATTACAGAAAAAAATAAGAGTAATCCATTACTTTACTTTTTCTAGGGAAAAGTACCGGTAATTAAATTACAGTAACTAATTACTTATTAACTAATTACACCCAACACTGGTAACTACATATGTGATTGCAAAGATACTATATAACTGCATATTGGTAATTTGCTGTATTAAGCTTATGGTCTTCATGGTTTCTCAGATGTGATAATATAAGGCCATAAAACTATGACGACACTGTATACGTCCATAAAGCTATGACATTACTGCATATTTGACAGTAAAACTATGACATCACAGCGTATGTGACTGTAAAGTTCTGATATTAATAATTGTATAACTGTAAATCTATGATAACTGCATATTTGTCTGTTAAGCTATGATGTCACAGCATATGTGGCTGTAATGCTATGACGACACTGCATTTGTGGAAGTAAAACTATGACATCACTGCATATATAGCTGTAAAGCTATGACATCATCAGCACTGCATGTGTGGCCATAAAACGGTGACATCACTGCATATGTGACTATATTCCCTGGCAAACACATATATAGTTGGTGTTTGAGAAGGTGACAGCAGTACCTCATTGCTCTTGTTGAGGTTTCGGAGGTTCTCCTCCTCAATGTCCTGCTGCTTACGCAGGTGGTTGTTGAGTAACTCCTCCTGTAGGGCACGAGCACTGCGCTCATGAGACAGGAGACGCTGAGACTCATCTCTGTCCTCTTCAATCTAAACACACAAACACACACACTGTTCAGCAAACTGTGTTACGGGCTGGTTTTACCAGCTAAATCTAACAGTCTGCTGCTGTTGACCTGTTTGATGCTGTTCTTCAGGGCTCTGATCTCCAGTTCCAGACTGCGAACTTTCAGCTCGGCTTTGTGACGCTCCTCGGCCTCGGCTTGCTGCTGCTCCTCTTTCCTCTGGAGCTGCTCACGGGTTTTATTATACAGCATGAGTGCGCTCTGATGCTTTTCCTGTTCCTGTCTCAAAAGGAACCTTCCATGAGAGGAGAGAGAGAGAGAGAAGAGAGTAAACGTCACAAACCCCGGTGAGCTGCAGACCTCCTTCCACATGCACTGAGTTGAGCTCACTTGAGATTGTTCATATCTGTTTCCAGCTCCAGTTTGAGATGTTCTAGGCTGGACTTGCTGCCTCTGATCTCATCCAGCAGGATCTTGAGCTCGTTGCGTTCCTGCTCCAGCTGAGAGGTTTTATCCGCCAGACGGCTGTGTCTGTCTCGCTCCCTCTGGATGGTGCGTTCATACTCAGGTGAGCTGCAGACCTCCTTCCACATGCACTGAGTTGAGCTCACTTGAGATTGTTCATATCTGTTTCCAGCTCCAGTTTGAGATGTTCTAGGCTGGACTTGCTGCCTCTGATCTCATCCAGCAGGATCTTGAGCTCGTTGCGTTCCTGCTCCAGCTGAGAGGTTTTATCCGCCAGACGGCTGTGTCTGTCTCGCTCCCTCTGGATGGTGCGTTCATACTCATGAAACATGTTCTGTAGTTTCACCACACTCACAGAGTCTGCAGGATAGACATTAGATATAGGTGCACATCTTCATTTTCTGTACATCTGAACTTAACTGTTTGCTTTCAGCTGACTGGAGCTGACCGACTCACCCAGATAGCTTGAGTCGAGTTGTTTGAAGAGCAGAGAGGCATTGCGGTATCCAGATACTGGAGTCTCCAGCTCCTCAGTAGCTGTGTCAGAAGACTGGGTGAGATCTTCAAAATCATCTGCCATTTCCAGCTCTCCAGTGCTCTGCGTAGGAGACATTAAAGTCAATGCAACACATGCGTGACACCGAGTAGGGGTCGACGGATGTGTGTTTTTCAGGGTCTGATTTTTTCCAGTGTTTTTCAGATACTGATTATTAAACCGATATTTAGAACAGATATATATGTCTGGTGTAAAAATGAAAAACAATGTCAAAATTAAGAATAACAAGGGCTCTGACAAACACTTTCTTTAAATGCTTTAAAATTATTTTATTGGCAAATTGGTTGTGAAAATTAACGATACCGATAACCATAAAAATGCTTAATATCGGCGCCAATAATCGGTTGGCCCATAACATTGAGTATTCTGTGTTAAACTGGTAAATATATGAGTAACAACTTCATATTCTCAAAAGTCAGAGCGCAGTTTGGTAACCACTGTCTTAAAACATTAAACGAACACTCATATTTAGAGGTTTACCTTATCAGGACAAAAGCTCACCCGTTCTTTCTTACGCCTTAAAGACGGGGACCTGTCAGAACAAAGAGAAAACATGGTTTAAGCTTTATCAGACAATACCAGCCTACCGGAGAGCAACTTTGGTGCTCTAAAATGAGGATATAATGCAGTATTCCCTTTAAAAAAAATAAACGTAATAACAAGGCCCATAAGGAATCTGCCCACTTTTTTGTTTTCATTTATTCTGCACTGATTGTTAGTGCAAGCATTGCACATGTAAATATTACAGTATTCAGTGTTCAAATTTGGTAGAGTTCTGTGTTGCTGTAAATAATACATTACATTAAAAAGCATATAAATACTGCATGTATACCTCCTGTCCTCTTCCGACAGCTCACTTAAAGTACTATCATCAAAGACCGACTCGAGGTCTCCATTATGGTGTGTCGCAGGTCGGGAGGGTTTGCCCTGCAGAGGGGGAGCTACACGGAGATTTCTGGCTTGGCTACCTACAGTTTTCTTTTCTTCCTCCTCATCTTCCTCACCATGTGGTGGTGCTCTGTCAGTACTGGAGGTGCACAGATCTCATCATGAAGTTTGAACAAAAAATTGGCAACTGCACGCCCTCCACCAGGGAAACACCCAGACATAAAACAGCAATGATGACACCAGAAGCAAATTCAAAGCTTCAGCAAAAGCCTGGTGGCAATATTGTTGTGTTCTATTAGCATGAAACATAACTGACAAAATAAAAATAAAAATAACACAACACTTGCATACCATGATTATATATTTTTTATTATGCATGCATATACTTTAAATAGAATGAAAATAAATTTGTAAAAATGTGTTTTGATCTATCAGCCATGGCTGTTTGCTGAAAGATCTTTACTTCAAGGTGTCCTCAGTAATTTTTTTCAGTAATATTTTAAATAAAATAAAATAAAAATCAAGTTCTTCTATGTGATTGGATCACAAAAACATCTCCCTTCACATTAATTCCATCTAGTAATGTGACATATGTACCTTCTCGGACTTCTTGTCAGATGTCTTGGTGAAACACTACCCTCTCTTCCCAAAGACCTGCTGTCAGCCATCCCTTCCTGTTTAGGTTTTGGGTTCCCAGAGTTGGTGTCAATTTTCTTCCCTTTTCCTTGGTCAAGTTCACCTCGTTCTCTGGTTCCTCTAGTATCCCATAAAGCACTGGGCTGGTGTTCTCCCCTCATGCCATCCGCCTGTTCCTTGCCACCCTAAAAAAGAAGATATTATTTGTTGAGAGAGTTTAAAACATATGCACTTAAGCATTACTCTAAGAGCAAAATTAAATTCTATATTTAAAACTACTTCTGGGAAATGTTTAAGAATGTGTTGATTTAGTCGATTGATCATGCAAAACATTCATGTACAGTCACATACAAGACAAAACTGAGCCAAACACCACACAATACATGTCTTCTTTTCTTATTTAAAAAGAAGCACTAGCAACATAAAACACACTTCAAGCCAACATCAACAGAGAAGTTCCAGGTTAAAAATGATTGTTGGAAACTCCTCCGTTGACACGCATCATGAAAGCACACACTAACACCAGTATGACAGATCTTCAGGAAGATGAGGAGAGATCTTCAGACAGCTAAAGGAAGCGATCCTTGGCACACATGCACACGACAGATGAGGTGTGAACTGACGCCCAAGTGTGGCCTCAAGTGAAGCATTTGACACCACTGCATAAAATTAACTGATAAATATTTCATAAAGTGACAGACTGGATTCAAGACAAGTGAAGGTCAGGTCACACAAGTTAAAACATATACAGGACAAGACAGGACAACTGAACACCCCATGAAATCAAACTTGGAGCTTTGGAGCCCATGTCTTTTTAAATCCTCCTAAAAGTCGAAGCAGTAATTGATCAGTTTGAGGAGCAAGAAGCAAGAAGCATACTACTGTCTAAAACAATTATTGTTGCACAATCAGCACAAGCTCATTATGAATACAGCCCAAACCATGGTTTTTCCAGGCTATGATATAAATGATAAAGGATGGCTGTTAAAAACAATAGAATGAAGTAAAACTAGTAAAAATCATTTTCAGTAAATCAAATAAAAATCTTGAAAATATGGAAATGAAAATTTGAATTGAATTTGAAATGAAAAGTTGAAGTACTAACATTACTAAAACCGACATAATACTAAATAAATAGTAAAACATAAATATAACAAAACAACATAACAAAATTATTAAAACTACAGTTGAATTATAAACATAAATATTTGAAAAATAAAATCTCATTCAAAATATTAACAAATACTGTTATAGCATACGAATAATACTAAAATAATACTGATTTCATGGGGTCTTAAAATGCATGAAGTATGTAAATGATTTGAAAACACTGGAATTGAATGGGTAGTACAAAAAATGTTGACAACAAGATAATAGCTCTGTTTCAAAAACTAGTGTGCTGCCTCACTGACTACTGCCTACATAGGCAGCTGCCTTCTAAGGTACCATGACAACCATCATAGAACATCATAAATGACTGATTTGAAAGATTTTATATAGGCAGAAACCTGCAATATGAAGCACATGGGAGACACTTGCATTCTGCGAGTGAACATCGCTTTATTGTGCCATCCCAAAGAAGACAGCAAAATAAAAGTCATTTTATAAATGGCTGATCTGGCCAGATTCCATAATTAGAAAATAAGCCGGGAGGAGTATTAATTAATTGTGGCAAACCAGACTAGCGAAACCAATAAAAAAAACAGATGACCAATTTTTGGTTAAAGGGTTAGTTCACCCCAAAATGAAAATTCTGTCATTAATTACTCACCCTCATGTCGTTCTAAACCCGTAAGACCTTCGTTCATCTTCGGAACACAAATTAAGATATTTTTGATGGAATCTGAGAGCTCTCTGACCCTCCCATAGAGGGCAACGCAACTGAAATGTTCCCAGACAGAAACGTAGCAAAGACATCGGTAAAACAGTCCATGTGACATCAGTGGTTCAACTTCAATTTTGCAAAGCTACGAGAATACTTTTTGTGCGCAAAGAAAACAAAAATGACGACTTTATTCAACAATTCTTCTCCCCCGAGTTACTGTCTTCCGCCATGAATTGTGATCTGCTTTGCACTTCTCGGCCACCGTAACTAACCCTTTAAAAACGACTGATAAGAACAAGGTATAACTATGGGTGCCCAGACAGACAAAGACTCAGATGCGGTGACTGTCATCTCAGCTTTGTTGCTTTGTACAATAAAGTCTTATTTCGACATCTGGAACTCTGCTTCTCGAGCGTCATTGACTTCATTGAGAAGACCATTGCTTGCTCCACGACACATACAAATAATTGATTTAGGCCTTTTTTCAGGCCTAAATCAATTACAATAATTGTTTTTCTAAGTAAATGTGCTACATTAGCTGCAAAGCACTGCAACATGAGCACAAATGTACAGTTAAAGAGCTTATAAAAACTTTTAAAAACACGTTTTTGGACAAAACAAGGCAACATAATCAGAAGCATGTCATGTCTAGGTAGGCAGCTCACTAGGTTTGGAACAGAGCTAATGATTAGCAAAACCAGAGACAGGGAACAGCTGTGTAATTTGGCCCGTCAGTGTCTGGGCAGCATTACAAGATGACAGGCGGCTTTGATTTTGAAGCTGGAGCTTTGCCCTCACATTTTGAGTTTATGTGAATGAAGAACAAGAAGATAGAGGCAAAACTGAAAGTCTTCATTCGTTATATAAGTTTGTCTGAGACTCCTCCCGGGGTCCTACCTCAAGTCTGGACTTCCACAAGCCCTCGTCAACCTCATGGGAGTCAGAAGAGGGCACTTCTAGAAATTTAGGTGGGACTTGTAGCTCATTCTCAACAAGCAATGAAGGTCTGTGAAGTTCTTCAGGTTCTTCATCTACGTTGCTTCCAGGATCTAGTGGATACTTTTCTTTGCTTCCACTATCAGGTTCCTCAATGTCATCCGCTGGGTTCTCTGGCTCCTGGGCCTCATCTGTTAGGACTTCTGGGATGATTTGAGGGTTGTGTTGGTCACTGGGAAGCTCTGCATCGCTGACCTCAACACTAACCGTGCGGTGGACACTTTCAGACTGCGAGTCCTCCAGGCCTGACTCTCTCTGCTCTGGGATGGGTAAAAGTATGGCACTTCTCGCCCGGGCGGTGGGCCGTACTACTGGCTCTCCCTCTTCCTCACTGGAATCTTCATCATCTGCTTCCTTTTCCACCTCTTTCTTTAACTCCTCATCATATTGTTCATCTTCTTTCCATTCCTGCTGCGAAAGCCCACTTGGTGGTTCCTTGTAATCCAGTTCTCCGAACCTCTCTTTTAGTTCAGCAGCCACGTTTTTATATTGGGACTTGGTCTCCTTTTTTTCATTATCCACCCAGATTTTCTCATAGCGTTCCTCCCAGGGAATCTCATCAGCTTTCTCCTCTTGTTCGTCCTCTCTAGGAGAGGTTGGGCGCTCCAGTGGTTCATGGTTAGATGGCCTATTTATGTCTACGGAAGATGCTTGTAATGCCTCTCTTGCCTTTGTTTGCACAATTAGACAAAAGAATAGAATTAACAATGAAAAACCAAACAAGTGTGGTTGACAAGGACTTCAGACCAAACGTGAGACACATGCAAGTGACTCGTGCCAACATTTAAACTGTATCACTGTCACAAACACCATATTTAACTAAAATAAAGCACAAAAGAAACATGTGGTGACATTAAAGACCAAATCCGCTGAAGAAAACATCACTGGAGCTTCCAACAGGCTAAAGACTGTATTTTCAACATTTAATTTAATAAGAGGCAGAGTTTTATTAAAGGCATATTCTTTCAATTTAAAATAAATTAATAAAACGATAGAAATTAAAATCTGATCAAGTTTTTCACAAGTCGCTGAAAAACTACAGTATACTGTTTTTCCCTAGCAAATTAAATAAAAAGTATTTGCAATACTAAATGCAATTAAATGCAAATGTAAAAAAGAAATAGCAACAACATTTTTTAAAAATATTTCTTTTTAAAGAAATTGTCTTAATGCTAAAGCAATAACAGTGACATAATTCAAATTAAAATGTAAAGTTTCGGGTTTTATTTTATTTTTTATTTTCAATCATCAGTCAACCTGTATGTAAATTCTGCTAATCAGTAGGTGGGTCTTGAGTGCTCTTTTAGATTGTTTTAATTGTTTAATTTTGTTTTATTTTTAATTTTGGCACATAGTTTGCAGACATTTTCAATAATGAAATGCTTAATCAGATTTTTATTTTTATCTTATTTAAAGTTGGTAGAATTCAGAGCTGTTTTTTTTTTTCTATGAATCGCCCACCTGATCTACATCTTCGCTTGCGTCAGAACTGTCTTCACTCTCGGCATCTTCAGCTTTGGGTTTCTGCCGATGAACTGAAGAGAAATTCAGACAAGTTACTATGTAATATAAAATACAGTGGGAAGTATTAAACCCTGAGCGTTCACCCTCACAGTTTTACCTGCATCAGGCTCAGCGACATTTGGCAGTGAAGCTTTCTTCTTGGCTGGACTGGAAGTGTCCGTATCCCAGTCCGATTCTGTAAATAAATAAGTACTGTAATCAGCATATATATTTATTGAACTAAATCTAAGATTTGTAGTTTCTGAGTTCTACCTTCACTCTCTGGACTCTGATTGGAGTCCAAGCGCAGCCGTGGCAGTGGCTGCGGTTTTGAGCTGGCGTTTGGGTTGAGAGATCGTGGACTAGGTAGAGGTGTTGTGCTCGAGGTTGTGGGTTTGTTTCTCTCTGGATTGGCTTCTTTATGTTCCCTGGTGTCCATGTCCTGTTGCTGAGGTGTTATGGGTAGCGTGGAAGATGCTGGGCTTTCAAAGAGGGGTTCCTCGTCTAGCTTATGAACTGGGTAGTTTTTACTGGCCTTACTGGTGGTGCTGGCGGAGTCCCAGTCTGAAGCATCTATGTGAGGCAGTTAAAATAAATGATAAATGCAAGCCTAAAAGAGGCTGTCTTCACCGCCTGTGTGTAACTGAAGAGTTTTCATCGACATTCTGACTGAAGATCTTTCAAGCTAATCAGTTTCAGA